TGGAAGTGGAAGTGGGCAGCTCCAGCTCCACCCCAGCGAGACAACTTCCCCTGTTTCTTCATGGGCCCTCTGCGCGCATTGCTAGCATAGTCCATGCTGCTCTCAGGGAGCCTGCAGGCTGTTGAGTTTAATCCTGAACAACTGGCTCCACACCGAGCCTCTACAGTCACGATCATAAGGCACCCCATTCCCCTGCCTGGCCACTCTTTAGGAATCCCCCAAATGGGATGACAGCCTCTCTCATTTCATCAGAACGACTGTCTTTAACTGACCTCGGCCCCGGGTGCTGCCCTCCCTCCAGCGCGGCCTGCCGGGGACATCCCTAAACTAGCTAATCTGCTCTCAGCCGTCCTCTCCCCTCGGGGCGGGGGTCTCCTCACCAGGCCCAGCTTCGGGGTCTCATTCACTTTCTCTAGGAAGTGCGGACGGCCCTCCTTTTGCGACGCCCGGCCTTCCTGTGGGGGAGTGAGGGCCCCGCAGCAGCAGAGCTGGGGACACATCTGTTTTAGACTTGTCACTGTTTGTAGCTCTGTGTGGCTCGAAACATTACTTTTGTTCCCAATTCACCAAATTGCAGCGCTCTGCTGATACCTGGCAAGAGAAGTTAGTGACGTTTCTCATGCCTCTCTGGCAAGATAGTCATTGATAACTACTCTTTTCTTCAGGTTAGAGATGGTCCTAAAAGATGCTTACAATTTTTAAAAAGAAATATATCAGTTTGCACACTCCTTGAAAATTCAGTATTTAGAGAAATCCATTGGTGGACCATCTAAGATGAATAATCTCCCCTAATTTGCACATATGGGTTAAAGTGGAGCGTACCTTATTGATGTTTGACTATGTGCAAGAATCCATTTTCGCACCAATTTCGCTGACCAGTAAACTCCCTCCTCTTCTCCTAAATGGAAACAGGGACTTCCCCTCAGTAATTCTGAGTTAGAAATTTCCATTTTGTGGGCAGAGGCAGGAAAGTCTAGAAGGAAAGGAATTTTATTTCCTTCTGTATATATTTGTACTGATTTTCTTGATACTGTATTTAAAACTGTATCAGGCATATAGCAACCGCACTTAATGTTAACTTTCCAGAAGAGAATCCTCATGCTTTTCACCATCCTATTCTAATGCCACCAATTTCCTCAACCTTCCTTCCTCTCCCCTCTTTTTCTGTTATATCCGATTTTGTTTCCCAAGTTCAAGTTATTTCTTCTTGGGAAAGAGACACCTAAAGCCTACCCATGTCTGGGTGTCTCCTCCTTCTGGGCGCAGAAGGATAGCTTTTCTCCAGCCTCTGGTGAGGCCACATGACTAGCTCTGGCCAGTGGGTTTTGAGAGGAGGAGGTCACTCCTGTGCCAAGGCATGAAACTGCTGGGCTGAGCACTTCAGTGTTGTCTTCCCCTGAGCAAGGAGGCGTTGGCATGGCCTCAGGAGAGCTGAGTCACCCATGAAGAACGATGGTCTCAGAGCATTGCCAGGACCTACAGGGGACTTGGCCTGCCCAAGAAATAAACTTGTATCCTGTTCGGTCACTGAAGTGTTAGAGTTATTGATTGTCCACAGCCCCATGGCTGTCAAGTGGGGTACCCGAGTAGCAGCACAGCGTCACCTGGGAACCTGTTAGAAATCAGTCTGGGGCACAACCCACCTGCTAAATCAGACCCTTTGGAGGTGGGACCCGCATCTGCGCCTGCGCACGCCCTCCAGTGGCTGTGATGCAGGCTGACATTTGAGGACCCCTGCTCTGGCCCATCCTGGCTAACCCGGCTCCCAACCAGCACTTCCCTCCTGGCAAAACTGGGGTCTGCAAGGTCTACCAACAAGACACAAATCATTTTCTAAGTTTCTTAATTATTCTTCCTCACAGTGATGAAATCATTCAATTATTTTCTCTGTTTTAGGGTCTTGAAACTACAAGCGGATCCAGAAGGTTCCAAGACCGTTCTCTCTACTTTGAACATGGTTGTTGCACGACTGCATTTAATGAACACATAAGAGAAAGTTGAGAAGAGCTTGAGGCTGCAGAGGGAAGGAAGAGAATGATCTGGACCTGCCCAGGGGCCCCTGCTGGCCGGGGGCTGCACTGACCTGCCCAGGTCATAACGCAGCAGCAGAAACGAGTGTGAGGTGAGCCTGGGACAGCATGGGTGACCCCCATCCCAGGAACAGGCAGGATGAAATGTTTTTACAGTTCTGCCCCCTTCCCTTCCTTCACTACCCAATAAGCTCCCCAAAAGCAAGTTGAACCCTGGCCTTATGTCTCCTGGGCTTCCCGTCCTCACACCTTGAACTATCTACCTGGGACACTCACAGATGATCCAGTAAAATAAATTGGATCTCTGGTGACTTCAGTAAATCTCTAAACCCAATGATGGACTTGGGGGGCATTTTCAAACAAACTCTTTCTTTTACTAAAGGAACTGGTTATTTACATGTAGTATTTCCGTTCAGATTTCATTCTAGGTGTTTTTGTTCCTTCAGCTTTTTACTTTGAAAAATTCCCAAGACCAGAGAAACTTGAATCCAGGCCCAGAGAGAACGCTGACTGTAGCACGTCCCGAATCTGTGCCTCTGTACTTTTGCTCGGCATCTATGATCATTCAAGGCTGTGTTTCTGGGTGTGGTGATCTGGAGGGTGGCCAGCCCTTTGCAATATTTTCCTTGAGGGCCCCTAGCTCAGGCGCAATCTCGACTTTTTCTTTCCTCTCAAGTGGCTTTGTACTTGAACGACCTTACTCAGGCTCCCACTGCTGGCCAGATTCCCTCTCCACCCCAAACCCCAGAAGGCAAAGTTCTCTGCCCTCCTGAGCAGGGTGAACTAAAATTACCAGAGGGCTCCCTGGGCTCAAATAGGAACTAAACATAAGAAATAGAAGTTTAGCCTGGCTGGCGTGGCTCAGCAGTTGAGCATCGACCTAGGATCCAGGAGATGGAGGTTTGATTCCCAGTCAGGACACAGGCCCACAGGGGGTGTGCAGGAGACAGCCGGTCAATGACTCTCTCTCATTGATGTTTCTAGCGCTCTCCCTTCTCCCTTCCTTGTTCTGAAATCAATAAAAATATATTTTTTTAAAAAAAGAAATAGAAATTTATCCCTAGCCAGTTTTGCCCAGTAGTTAGAGTGTCAGCCAGATGACTGAAAGGTCTCGGGTTTGATTCCAGTCAGGGGCATGTGCCTCAGCTGCAGCCTCGATCTCCAGTCCTGGGAGTATGCGGGAGGCGACCAAACGATATGTCTCTCTCTCACATCGATATTTCTCTCTCTCTCTCTCTCTCTCTCCCCACCCTCCCTCCACGCGCTCTGAAAAGCAATGGAAAAAATATCCTTGGGTGTTGAGGATTAAAAAAAAAAGAAATAGAAGTTTATAAATATAACTTCAATTTTTTTACACTGTGATGCCAAAGTGTTTATTATCCTGATATTTGGAACTAATAGTGTCTTTTTCCTACTGAAAACAATATGAAGCACAGCGGTTAGGCTCCCGTTTCAGCTCATGTGAGTCTAATAAAGCCACATGTAGTTCAAGCAAAGCTCATTTACAATAAAGAGTACAGAACAAATGCCTATCACGATACTAATAATTTTTTAAGAAAAAGAATATAAAGTGTTAGAAAGTTTGTATTTATTAAAATGTGTAGACTTGGGAGAAAGCATGTTGAAAGAAAAATGAAGATAGGGATGGAAGATTTGGGAGATTCCAAAAGAGACTTCTGGGTCCTCCGAAGAACCTTGGAGGTTGAGGGCACAGGTTCCTGTAATATCTAATGATATGTTACTAGGGGGAAAGTCTCCCATTTCTATGGCACAGATTTGTCACCAGCTCTAACTTAACAACGATACTGAGGATTTTTCTTGAGTTGTGTGACTCACAAAGAGAATAAAAAGAGGCAGGAGAGATTTTCTTGAGGGAACTGAGTAAAAAAACACACAACTTAGTTGAGAAAAGGGACAGTAGAAGGGAATAAAGAAGTGAATAGCATTGCTTGATGAACAATTATTTGAGCTATGAGTGTGCCTGTGTGTACAGTGCCCCTGGAAGGGAAGGCAGAGGTGACAGGTGAAAGACCGGCCTTCCCAACTTAGCGCCTGTGACTCCATCAGCTCTGAACAGACCCAAATGCCATTTGGAGAGAAGGGATAAGTGTGTTCTATGGGATGGAGTAAAAACACAGGGAGACATGGTTAGTGCTGTGGATGGAAAACAGTTCTCCTTAAGGAAAAAAAGTCCTGGTTTGTAGTGTCTGCAAATTACAGTGGTGTAAATGCCCCTACTATGCGCATTTTCAAGCTACAAATTGTTTCATAACTGGCTCAGAAAGTCCTGAATATTTAACAATCAGCTTCTACAAGCTGATGTGAGCCAGCTCCAACACACCACTGGAAAGTGCAACTAACCATTTCCATGTTCAGCCGATTGCCAGTCCAACCACCATACTCAAGTGTGCACTGTTCTGCTCTGTGAGTGTGACATTTTAATGATTTCAATGGTTACTTACTCAAAGTTGGCAGAATATTCATAAAGTTCAGTAAAAGTGTATCTCAAAAGTACATCCTTTGCCTAAAATCCACCAGAAATCATGAGGGCAGAGGGCCACTGAATTAGTCTAAGTTTAAACTCAATGATCATCACATGGTTGAATTCTTGGGACTACATTAAATTTTCTGATGACTGTACTCTCTATAAGAGTTTTTAAAAGTAAAAGAAAAAATCACCTGTGGTTTATCTGGGACAATTTAAAAAACTTGAAAACTGGAGCATGTTCTTAGTGAAATTGTAATGGATTTCCAAAGTGCATGGGAAACAGAAGAGAACATACCTGTTGATCTTACTCTACATGTTCATTGAATCACACTGTCCATCAGAAGCAGGGATCTCAGACTCAAAGTGCTAGAGAACGTGGAAAGGCTTCTGGACATGCAGAGTGGCCACCCCTCTGGAGTGGAGCGCTGGGGAGACCTAACACCCAGAGAAAGAGCGGCGGGAGACCCAAGAGGAACAGGAGAGGGGAGCAAGGCCATCACCTTCCAGCAGCTCCCTGCTGGCCTCCTGCCTACACAGTCACCATGATCTGATCCAGAGGCTTCCGTTTTAGGTCGGGCACTGTGGCCTCTTTGCTGGGGTATCCCACGGGGAGCAACATCAGCAGCTTTTCATTTGCGGGGCGGCTCAGGAGCACCCTCAGACGGGGGCCACAGTTGAGAGGAGTGGTGGTGACAGTCACCAGTCCCGCGTTCTGAAACAGGAGAGGAGAAGAGTACACTGAAATGTCAGCAGGCAAAGCCGTGGCTCCTTCAAGCCTGGGGACATTCTGGTGCCTGTTAGACCTGCTGGTTCTTTCATTTCCCTGAAGTGGGGCAGCAAATGAAGAGGTATCTTGAACCTGCTCTCCTCGGCCTCACCAACCCCCACCTTCTTTTAACCGAACAGTAGGAAGGTTCTCAAAGAAGAAAAATACCAGTCTTATTTTTTTCATTAATGCTTAAGAAATACGAATGGCTATTTCATGGAAAGAAATGTGGGGAATCCAACTACAACAAAGGAATGACAAAAAAACAAGAAGCAGTTCCTATGATCCAACCATGGACAGAACTTCATCCCCAGCTGATAATCCTATGCCCAGTGATAGAGGACCCAGCAGCCAATGAGGAAAATAGAGAAAACACTTCATCAACTTCTCTCCAAGGCCCTCCAAGTAATAAACATCTAAAAAAAATCATGTGTAGCTTTAAGACATCTCCCCAGCTCACCCTCCCCAACCCCCCTGCTTTTCCAATCAGATCAGCACCGCCAAGCCTGAGCCAGAAAGTTCTGGAACTGCCTTTGACAGTCTTGCAACAACTCCAGTCATTAAGCAGTCTATCCAGATGGGGCATCACTTGCTTTCCTCCCTCACAAATCTGGACCTACATGCAGAAGTGTGCCTTACGGAAGCTAGAGGGGAGGAAACTCAACACTCAAGTGGAAAATGCTCCTGATTCAAAGGCATCGAGGCCACTATGAATTGAGCTCCCTCCAGGACCAACTCGCTTCTTCCAGACCTTACGCTGGATGGAGGTGCCCCATGGCACAGTAACTCCTTTACTTACTCGCGTACCGAATCAGGGGGGGGGGGAAAGATTTCAGCTCTTTAAGGACAAATTTTCAGCTAATCTAGCTCTCTTTTGTGTAACAATGACTATATCTTATAAGGTGTTTTGGACACAAACTTTCCTTTGAGAGGGTAAAGAAACACACAGTGACCTACTTGGAACCGGCTGTCCCTTGGAAGCATGGTCACTCGCTCTGACAGTCCTGTTGGCTCTATTTGTTTATGTGTGTACTATCTCTCCCCACCCCAGGACCCCAGTCCCCACCAGAGTGCACACCTCATGAGGTGGCTATTTCTGGGGCCTCCCAGGATCTGCCACATGGAAGGAACTTGGAAGATATTTGTTGAGGGAATAAATTGAATCAGCTGAAAGGCACACCTCAACTGCTCTGTTTCATGCTTAGAACTGCTCTAGCTACTACGTAGATGGGATTTTTCAAAGTACATGGACATCTTTCTAACGCAGTTCAGTGTAAACTCAACTTCTCAGGAAAGGAGCTCAATGAGAAAGTCCTCCTTATAGCTTTTCAATCATTCCACCGGCTCAGACACCAACAGCAAACACAGCTAGGCAGCCAGTCCCTGCAGTTTCCAGGCTCTGAAAGTGTGTGTCTCCCAACACCCTTGACCTTCATATGTCACAGATGAAGGCAGACACAAGGGCCTTTTCTCCGACCCTGCAATGTTGTTTCTGGTGAATTTCCAGGAAGAATTCCAGCTCAGTGAAGCATTGTACTCGCCCAGCCTGGTTTTAGAGTCAGTTTTCACGTCAGAGATACCTTCCTTAGGAATTCAACTTTAGATAAACAATTTCCAGATGTCCCCGACCAGAACCTCAGCTGAAATCTGTGAATAAGGCCACCGCTTGGGCCCCAAGCATCGCTTCTCTGTCTCCAGGGCAGGGTGGGAGGGTGACATACCTGCAGGGCAGCGAGGAGGATGCCACAGGCGATGGAGACACTGATCTCATTGTAGTAGTGGATCTTTCTCTTGCCATTGGCAGTAAAACCATGCACTTGTTTGAAAATGAGAATTAAAACAGGAGCAGTGTCCAAGTACTCTTTAATCCAATTCGTTCTGAAGGGGGGAAAAAAGATATTCCTGAGAATATTTGCTCTTAATGACTTTTGTTTTCTAGTTAAGAGCGTATCTTCCTATGTTCCATCACCCTATCCCGTACGTTTTGGCAAAAGCTTCATTCTAGCGCTGATATTCAAAGGAAAGATACTCATGCAAGGCTATATATTGGAATCTTTGCTTAGGGTATATTATATCATTAATTAGCAAGAGAGCATTCGTTTTATTTCTAGCTTGGTTATCCTCCACTGTTTTAAAACACTGAACTCACTTGTGTATTTTCCTATGTTTCCTCTACAGGTTACAATTTCCAGGCTTCTTTACTATAATCCACGAGCTTAGCCACCTTTGACAATTATCAAATTTTTTCTTACAAAGAGGGAGAATGAAATTCAGTTTACCAAACATTTATTCAGTTACCTACTATGAGTCAACACTATGCTAAATGGTATAAAACTTTTTAAACTGGAGCTCCCTGGACCCCTAGAGTTTGTGTGTATGTGTGTGTGTGTGTGTACATACTACCTGCAAAGAAAGTCTATAACTTTAATTGGATCCTCAAGAGTATCTTGGTGTACAACAAAGGTTCCTAAATAAGCCCTATAAAGTGAGAAGAAAAGTAAGCCAATAATTACAACAAGATGGAGTAATGGTTATTTTGGTTTTTTGTTTGTTTGTGGGGGTTTTAGGGGGGTTGTTTTTAGACATACATAAATGTTAGATTTCTATTCCTATAAAACAAACAAGTATAGTGTTTTTGATCAACCCACATTAATTGTCTCATAATTTCCTTGACCAGGAATCTGTGCGTATCTAAGCTGGGTCCTCTGCTCAGGGTATTTCAAGGTTGAAATCAAGATATTGAAGGGGCTGAGTTCTTGAGAAGCTTTGGGGAAGCATCCACTTCAAAATTCATTCCAGCTGTTGGCCGAAATCATTGCCTTTTGGCTGCATGACTCAGCTTCTTACTGTCTGCCAAACGTAGGTTGCTCACAGGTCCTATAGTCCTGCCATTTGAACTTCTCACAAGCAGTTCACAACATAGTTATTTATTCCTTCTTATCCTATTTTTTAAATTATTCAGATAAAAAAAAAGATATAGAAACTAGATTAAAGGGTATGTGGGCCTAAAATAAAGGAAAATCCACGTAAGTTATAAACTTTGCAGTAGCACAAAGTTGTTAAGTAAAACACAAAAAATGGTGGTGTTACTATGGAGAGGAAGTCTAGAGTCTAGCCATAAGTATCTCAGCGATTTAAAAGTAACCCAGAGGAAGGCTTACTGTGAATTTAGACTGACATGTGTTCAGTGAAATATGAGAAAACTCAGAGAATTTCATTCCACCTAAGGCTGGCTTCATGGACGTGTGATCTGTGCACTCACACAGGGCCTCACAATTGATTTAATGCTTTGCCATCACCATTTTGCAATTTTTAATAATTTGTTTAAAAGGCACTCCATACTTTCATTTTGTACTGGCCTCCATAAGTTATGTCACTGGTCCTGATATTATTAAAGCCAAGAGAAAACAGGGATTTGTCATATGGGTAGAATATGAATGCATCTTTAACAAGATGGGGATTAAAAATTGTCTTTTGTTTTGTTTTGACAACATGGAAGTCATTAATTACTGACTTAGCAAGNACAAGATGGGGATTAAAAATTGTTTTTTGTTTTGTTTTGACAACATGGAAGTCATTAATTACTGACTTAGCAAGTATCTATGAGTAAAATTTTAAGGGTGAAGCCATATTGCAATAAATTGTAATATAGATTTTAGGAAAGTAATGGCTATTTTGGATGTATGGAAGATGCTTACTGGGTGCTCTGAGCACACTGATGAGAGAGCCGCTAATTCTGCCGTCACTGGGGAAGGTGACAGGGCTGGTGGCATTAGGCAGGTACAGTGCACAGCCGGAGCCCAATACCTTTCTAAGTGCAGAAACTCACCTTGACTTTTACCATCTCAATTTCCCCCACAATTATGCAGTAAGATTTTTATATTCATTATTAATATCCTGCACTTGTTCCAGAACATGGTAATAAGTTACAATTCCATAAATCATCCATTTTGATAGGGTTTAAATATTTTAGGGGGGAAAAAATTGTCCTCTGGGGCCAAATAAATGAACCAGGAGCAAGGCTAAGAGGCCCACCTCTCACGGTCCCACTTCCCCCCAGCACTGAGATCCCGTCGCCCCCTCTTAGGTTTGGGTCACAGAGGACTGTTGGGTAGCTGGAGCCACAAGGGGCCACTAAAGGCCCAGCGCTGACAGCCAGAGGCATGGGTGCCTCCGCNCTTCCCCCCAGCACTGAGATCCCGTCGCCCCCTCTTAGGTTTGGGTCACAGAGGACTGTTGGGTGGCTGGAGCCACAAGGGGCCACTAAAGGCCCAGCGCTGACAGCCGGAGGCATGGGCGCCTGCGCAATCCCAAACACGAGGGACAAGGGGTCAGGACAGGCATCTGGGCCCCATCCCTCCTCGCTCGCCCGAGGACAGGTCGGAGGGGAGGCAATTCCCCCGTGAGGGCTCTGTCACCAATGTTTTTTAAGTGACAACGCTGAATCTAAAAAACTGAAAGCGACTCTTTTAATTACAAGGCCTTGCAGTTGGAGGACCAGAGCTAAGAGTCGACCCAGACCTGACTCCAGCCCAGTACCCAGACCCTCCACCATGCACGTGTCAAGGCGACACCGTGGGGGGACCGCCTTGACTCCCCAGTTCCTCGCAGAGGGCGAACCAAGCGCTTTGACACCTAAACAAAGCCAGGAAACCCGGCCCGGCTCTTGCACTGGAAGGAGTGAACGCCAACCCCCTAGTGCCACCACCCCGGTACCTCAGTTTCTTCAGGTCTGTGACCCATCGCTGGCCCATCCTCTTCAGGTAATTGACCTCCTCCTCCTCTTCGATGACCTCCCGGACCTTATGCTTCATGCCGGGGTCCCTCACGACCACGAAGGTCCAGGGCTCCGTGTGCGCCCCGCTCGGGGCCGTTCCTGTCACCGTGACATGAAAACCAGAAATCAGAGCTGCGGGAAACGTGAGCCTGTCGGTTAAGACTAGATGGAGTCACTCAGACTCGATTCGCACGAAGTCCCCTGCTGGGGGACAGCCGGGCCATGGTCCCTGGCGTGTGCCACCCTCACTGGCCTCGCTGGGGGCTTCGCACCCGCTCACCCGGGTCAAGGCTGGCAGTGTAGGGCCGTGGGAACCTGTCACTGTGGGGGACAAATAGTCCCTCGGAACCGCACCGCCACCACGGAGGAAACTCAGAGGGAAACTGACAGCCCGAACTCTCCAGAATGCTTTGATTAAACCTTTATTCTTGAAAAGGAATAAAGTCTTGCAGCTCTTTGGAAATGGTAACAGCTAAGTGGTTAAACAGTTTTTAAAACACTCATCACAAGGCAATTCAACTATAAATTGCTTAGTGTCTGTATCAAAGCTCTGAGTGCGGCACTGTGGGGTTTGTGGTTTTGTTGGGGACACACAAGAGCTCTTGGTCCCGGGTGCTCAGCCAGCTTCTCACGGGCTTCGGGAACACTCCACCCACCCCGCGGGCAGTGCCAGCGTCCCAGACAAGGCTTCATAGTACACCTCAGTGCCCAAGGAATTCCCTTTAAGATCCCAGCCAGGGCTGGGCCAGCTTCTGATCTGGATGTCACCCCTCTGTCCCAGAGATGGCCCACTGTTCCTAGCAGTAAACCACAGTGACTCCCTGGTGGGATATTTTAGAGGCAACAATTTCTTTCTTCCTAGTGAGTAATTTAATGGCATAAACTCTGCATGAAGGGGGCTCAGGCCTCCAACCTGGAGGACACCCTTGTTTGCTGTTCACAACTCCCCATGGTAGAGAGGGCGCGATTAAATTGTGGAATGCTTTAGCAAGTCAAAAGCTAAACATAAAGCCCAAATTTCTGAACAGAGTGATTTGAGTTCGCTTTGTTCCTATGTTATTTGTCCAATAAATATTTGTGTCACTAACCTAAGAATAAATTGTTCCCCAGTGTTTTCAATTACGCCAAATTTATCTGCGCATCAGATGTATATACACACACATATATAGATACAAATATATACACAGAAGAAATTTAGTAACTGCTATTAGTTAAAGGACTCAACAATTTAGTGCATTTGTGTTCTTAACTGAAATGAAATAAAACTCCAAGCACAGGATACTCTCAAATAGGGGGCTTGCTCTTATTTCTCCTGGCCGTTTTCTATAATTATTGTCTTTTTTCTCTATAGAGAGATGAATTTACATTGAAAATGGGTTTGCCTTGTTTGGTTTACTTTGCAAATTCACACGAGTAAATGTGGTAGGTCATTAGAATATAGTATTAGAGCATACTATAGTATTATGGTGCATGGTATCAGAAACTTGTCCCAAAAAGAGAAATGTGTAAGTGTGAGTGTGTGAGTGTGTGTAAGTGTGTGTGTGTGTGTCTATGTGTGTGTGTTTAGGGGAGGGGAAAGAAAGAAGATGTTTCTCTTCCGATGTATAATAGTGTGTTCAGAAATTTTCATTTTTAATAAGTTTATAATGTTGAAAAATTTCAGAAGTTTTGAACTGCTATCACATCTGCTCCCAAGAAGCCTGTAATAGTCAAAAGTTTGTAGAAAGGGGGGATCATTGTGTTCCTGGCAGTCAGTCAGCCCCTGGGTGAGACTTCGTAGGTGAGCGTGTCACCCTGGGCTTCACTCACTGAGTGACCTCAACATTGCTCCAATAGTGTCTCAGCGGCAATGCAGCTGACCTTCTCAGAGACCCAGTGTGCAGTTACAGACCTGCTGTTTTGATGACATTGTCAATGACTTCCATTGGGACTTGCTCATTACTTATGAATCGCACAGAGCGCCTCTTATTGAGCAGCTCATAAAATTCCTGGGATCGCGTGACCATTTCCTTCTCAGGGTACCGGGTGTGGGAGAATGGGACGTGCTCAACGGTTTCCTCTGACTCCTGCCACTCATCAGCGTCTGCAAAGAGGAACGAGAAACGTAGCAAATTAAATGACCTCTCTTGGTCGTAAAGTGGCCGCTGGGTCACTTTCTATAAAGTTACTATAATATTAAATTATAAATTTGACCTCTTTCTATCAGCAGGACTGAACAACTTTCTCCTTCTAGACCTCTGGTCCGGAGATGCCTGCAGCAATGACTTTGCGATGTTTTCTTGTTGTTTTTGTTGGTGGTGATGGTATTTGGTGGGGTGGGGGGAGGGTAAGCCAGAGGAATAAAAACCTCTGGTAGGTATGATTAGTTTGGGGGGGAAAAACAGTTTCAATGTTATAATTATATGTTTGTAAAACACGATATACTATTATACACTTAGTAAAATGTATGACATTGTTATGTACATATTAAATTTAGTAAATGTCATATGCAAATCGTAAAGCTCCCAAAGTCTTCCTAGAAGGCTGAAAGGCACAGTTCACTCAACACGGCTTCTATTTGGCATTTACTGAGCATATATTACTGAGCAAAATAGACAAGGTTTTGACACTCAGCACTTAAACATTTAAACTAATTGGCAAATGTGTATTGTATGGCATCGCAAACTATGGCCACTACTCTGAAAACAATTCATTCTCTATAAGAAACAGAGAATAAGGAGGGGTCCTAGCAGAGGAGACAGAAAGGGGCTCCCTGAGGGGCTCCCTGGGACACCTGAAGGAGAGAGTCCGCGCTCCAGGACTGAGGATGGAGGCAGGAGTGTTTCAGGCGCACCTGAGCTTCTGAAAGGACCTAAATATGGCTGGGTCTTACTGAACAAGGAAAGAGTGGCTTAGATAAGGGTGAGGAAGCAGGCAAGAGCCTTCTTATGTGGGCCCAAAGGGGTGCTCCCAATAAGACTGTAGATTGAGCTGAAGTAGCATAGGAAGAAATACAAAGGCATAAGAGGCAGTGTGGGGTAACCTAACTTATGTTTTTAAAGGTATACATTGGAGGGAGACCAGAGGGAAAAAAGCAAAACCATCAAGAGACTATTGCAGTCGCCTGGGTGAGGGACTGTGCGGGCGTGGACCAGCTGGGCAGCAGAAAGAATGCTGGAAGCGCACAGATTCTCGAAGAGTCTTGGAGGTAAAAATGATAAGGCCCGCTCAGGTGTGTGGTTGGGAGTGGCGGAGAGAGAGGAATGACAGTGACTCCCAGGTTGCCGGCTTCAGGGCCTGGGTAGGCCACAGAACCAGCCCCTGAGATAAGGTGATGAGGGATGAAGCATTTGGGGGATGTGGGGCAGAAGTGGGAATAGGAATAAACAGTGTGTCATGTTCAAGGTGCCTTCGAGTGAAGATGTCAGGTGTGAAAGTAAAAGTCCAAGAGGCGAGATGTCACTTTGGAAGCCCTCACATAAAGATGAGAATGACAGATAGGGCAGAGGGAAGAGAGCAAGAAGATGCACCCAGGGCCTGGCCCTGAGGGTCTGGGACATTCCAGGCGGAATTCAGGGAGAGGATTAGCCTTCTCCACACCTTCACTCCTCCGGATCTGAGGGCGGGGAGGGAAAAGGCAGGAGGGAACTCTCCTGAAAGGGGGACTGACTTCAAAGGGCCTGAGAGCCCAACTACAATACTAGCAGGTTCCACGGTTTGCTCATAACTCTCAGTGAGAAACTTCTTTTGATATTTTACCAGCTGGGGCATCTTGGGCCCAAACTGTACATCTTTAATGAGAAGGTTCAGTTACTAAGTTAAAAGGAAGTAGGTGTGATGGGGAATGGCAATAATCAGCTACCACCTTTCCAGCAGTCAGTTCTGAACCCAACCCTGAACCTTCTCAAGCGGGTCAATAAAGACTTTCAACACCAATGAAACTTTCTCCACCATTTGTTACAAAGTCTGGCAACTTCTGTCAGTAAGCAGTCAAGGAGCAAATGCACGAAACGCTTCCTGAACTAAAATGTAAGTTACCAACTCTTAAGATCCATTCAGTCAACATCTGTATAAACTAAAGACAACCTAAGGGCAGGACTTGGCAATTTCTGTAGCTTCTAAAGTCCAGGGTAGGTGCTTTCACTCTAGCAGAATGAAGAACTGGCCTAGTCACCGCTGGGTTGGATTGTCCTGCAGGACAATCTGAGCAGTGAGTGGAGGTGAGGTGGGGGGATGAAAGGAGGCTGCTGCTTCCGGAGCCTCTCCCAGGGCTGAAGGTCTATGTCCTGCCTAGGCAAAGAGCCAGGCTTGGAGGAACCAGCAGAGCAGTGAACCAACACGTAAGCAAAAGGCACCACCTCTCTCCTTCCCCTTGACCTCCTGACTGCCCCCAGGAACGCAGCCCTCACCAAGAAGAAAAAGAACCACCTTTGGAAACCGCACAGTTGTCCTGCCTCCATCCTAGACCAGCCTACAGATTTCTGAAACAAATGTGTGCTATTGTGTCTGCTCTTTAATATACGTCCTGTCCTCCCACACTTGGGGTTGGCTATTGACACCAAGAGCAGTTCACCTTGTATCATGCTTTAATGCCAACGAACACTAAATTGCTCCATAAGTAGGTTTAATGGCCAAGTAATTCTAGGTCACATCTCTCCTTTAATGTTTACCATGAAGGTGGTTTTTTTTTTTTTTTTTTTTGGCTTCATCTCTACAGAAGTTGCTTTTGTGTTTTGTGGTTCTACTTCACAATCTTTTGTAAGTGGGCCAAATATTTTCCAACTATGAAGCTACAGGCCAATTGGTGTGGTGTCAGCCTTGTTTCCTCCCTGCAAATGTTGGAAGCCTTGAGGAGCAATGTAAGTGAGGCTGAGGGAGACTGCCTAGCACAGCAGACAGATTCTGAAGGTGGGTTGGGAGCAACTTCAGGGCTCAACACCTGTCCTGGAAATGCCTTCTTCCCAGCTGCCCCCGCCGTCACTCTGACTCCTGTGTGGCCTCCCAGTAAGTCACCTCCCTAGCTGCAGTCTAGACTATTTCACTAGCAGCAACAGGGTGGCTGGGGGCTGGGAAATCTGGGCATCGAGATGGAAAGAACTTGACAAGAGCAACATTATCCTGAGTGGCGTGGACAGAACTGGTTTTCGAGCCCCTTCTTTTGTGGTAACCTCAGTGTCCCCTTGCTGGCCTTCACTGACCCACCCAGACTCTATCTCAAGGACAATGTCTCCATCCATGTCCTTCCCCTTTCTTAATCTTCTCTCATCTGAAGTTGCCTATTGTCTGTCCTAAAACCTTAAGGTCTTATGGGAGCCTTGATTAAACCAACATTTTAAAATTAGCCATGCAAAATTATTCATGGGTGGGTATGTCAAAGGATGTTGAAATGCACAGATGAAGCTGAACTTATCACTTCCTAAGGCAAAGGAGAGCTGTGCTGGTCAAGCTCTGTCTCGGTGAACACAGTATAATGCTGATCTTATGCAGTATTTTTGCCAGGGGTCTGCTGGTAAACCAGCTCTCTGAGGGGAGGGGGGAAGAGCCCAGATTTATAGCACTTGCCAAATTCCATAGTATAAATACTCCCATCATGTCTTGACTTCAAACTACTGACAATTGAACAAATGGCCCACAAATTTCCTGGGTAGCAGTTGACTCTCGCTAGCCCATAGGGCTGCTCTAGCACACCACCTGGCTCGAAAGAATGGAGCTCAGGGCTTGGTGGACTTCCAGGGGTGTAGGAGGATAGATATCATCTATAGGAACACTGCTACTTGGTTGAGACTGTAGTTGATTTGTTGGCACTCAGGCTAATACTGGAGTGAGTTCATCCCTGGTTTGCTGCTTTTGAGAAGCAAGAAGCTGTCACTGATTGGCTGACTTGCTAAGCTTTTTCTGAGATGAGTTGCCATTGAGCCACTGAACAGGTCTGAAACCGATTCTGAGAGCTGCTTCTTACCATGGGTACATACAAATCTGTCCATTCCAAAGTTTGCAGGAATGTTTTTTTCTCGGTGTTATCCACACTAAACAAAAATTTTAACACAGGCCTTTCTTAGCAGTGACTGGATAACCTGGGACAATCAAAATTTCAGTCAAAATGATAGATTTTAGATGGCCAGTGAAGCTAAGTGAAAAAAATCCCTACAAGCATTAAAATGGACATATAAAATGTGTTCCCTATACCTTTTTCTCTTATTTCCATGAACTTCCATGAATCTGTGCCTGACTGGTTCATTTTAGGGGAGCAATTTGAGGTTCTAACTTGAGATAAATTTTGCAATTTCTCCATCATAGACTTCCACTACAGCAAAATACGGAACTGAAAATATTAACCGGACACCCTGAAGAAAAGTTATGTCTGGCATCCAATGAGCAGAGCCTCTCTAACTGCCCACCATTCCCCCACCTTTCACATACATTGAGGTTCCAGTCTCTGAATGTGGACTGGAAACTCTGTGGTCAGAGCTGGAGGGGAGTGGATTGGTACCCAGGTTAACTCACACGGAATGGCCTACACCACTTGACTGCTTCGTCTCTTACTGCTAATTTTCAGAATGGTTTTAATCTGGTATCTCTTCGCCATCATCAGAACCATCTCCAGGCTTCTTCAGTCATGGAACCAACCCCTTCTCTTCAGCTACACCCCTTCCGAACCTGCAGTGCCTGCGGTGGGTCCTCCCTTAGGCCCTGCCCACCCAGCCAGTGGTTAGGAGCTGGGACTTGGGTGGCAGAGGAGACTAAGTTTAAACACTGCGCCCTCACCACCACCTGTGTCACCTCACCCCGTCTCATTTATGTAAACAACAAAAATTTCAACAAGAGACTGAGAACTCTTCACTCAGGGCAAAGCTGTGCAGTCTGTGTCTTCATACCCGTGGGACGGATGGAGAATGAAGAGGCAGAGGGTTTGGGGAGACGACTAAGACAGAGAACCCGAACGGATCCATAGGGCTTTGCTCTGTGTCCCCAACCTTCAGGCCCAGCCCCAGGTCTCTGACTCCCCGCCAACCTTACCAAGCCCCTTCGTATCCCCCAAACTCAGGTCCTCAAGTCCTGGGCGCACACTACCTCCCAGCTCTCGGGGAGGTCTTAACCCGGCTGCTCATCTCCTGAAAGGCAGCCGAGCAACCTGGCCGTGTGCCTGGGCTCTGGAGCCAGGCGGCTGGGCCCTGGCTCGACCACTGCCTGCTCTGGTAGGTGACTTAGCGCATTTGAGGCTCAGTTTCTTTATCTTTAAAATGGGGGACACTAATAGTGCCTACTTCACTATGTTGTCATGAAGACTAAATAATATACTACATGCAAAATGTGACACTGGATCCAGTAAGTGCTCTTGTCATTGTCATCATCACCATCATCACCATCATCATCACCATCATCACCATCACCATCACCATCATCACCATCACCATCACCATCACCCTGGTGCTCCTTTTCCCATATGTCCTTTCCTGTAGCCCATTTCTCCCCCTTACCTGCAGGTGCACCCCACCAGCCCCCCGGGCGAATTTCTATCCTCAGTCTTCTCTCTAGCAATAACCCCTTAGTGAATTCAGTATTTCCCAAGTTCCAAGTCTCACCCCTATGCCGGTGACCCTCCAACATGCATGTGTCCTGGATCCCTCGCCTAGACTCCTCTCCTTTGCCGTCACAACGTGTTGCTGTCTCTCAAATCCCACACACCCTAGACTGCTCCCATCTTCCCCTCCAAACCGGACCCTTACCCATTTATGGCGCGACCCTTCCAGCTTCCTCTGTCTCCCACTGTCTAATTTATTATCAAACCCCCCTGTGCCCCCCTAGCTTTACCCTCGCTCCCTGCTGCCTCTGCGTGCCCACTGCCACCACCATCCAGCCACCCTCACAGGAGCCAGTCACCGCCCAGCTCTGAAATGGACGTCCCTCTGTCCGCGGGGCGCGCTTCACCATTGGGCGTGAGTGGCCTTCAACGTAGGACAGTAGTAAGAAGCCCTCCAAGAGGCTCCTGACTCCGAGCACCGATTGCCAGCTGTGTACCTTACGCCCAACCCTGAGATTGGGCCAACTCAGAACACACACGCGCGCACACATGCACACACATACACAAACGAACACACGTGCACACACCCCCACGCGCTTCCAGGCGGCCTCTGTTGGAGGGTGGGAGCAGCACTGGCCCAGCTGAGAACCACTGAGCCTCGTCCACATTGAATCCATCCCACAAACCGACCTCAGACCAGCCTCAAACGCCGATCGCCAGGCCCCCAGAGCCTCTCGCTGCCTGCCTGCCTGCCTGCTCTCACCTCTTTTGTCCCGGGCCAGCCATGCCCTGGCGCTCCCTCGCTGCCCCATTCCATTTCACCCTGTCCCCTGAGCAGTGTCGTCCTCCCAGCTGCTCGGCATCTTTCCCAGGCGTTGGCCCCTGTACTTTGCTCTCTTTGCTCCTCTTGCCCGAGATGCCTCCTAACCCTTGCTACTCATGTACTGCTAACTGGCTAAGCCTGGCTGACCCCTTGGCTAACTCCCACCGTGCCCCAAGGCCTTCTCAGGCACCTTATGATCGGCTCCACCTGGCCTGCCTATTGCCTTGTCTTCTGAATTAGACATTCAGCTTTGAGGTCAGGGGGCCACTCCTGTCTCAGGGCCACAGGGCCTGGCACAGTCAAAGGTAGCAAGTCCCCACAGAGGTGCTACTTTCTAAATTTCAGAGTTCTGATGAAAACCTGACCACTTATCCCAGGGCCGCCCAGCCTGTGATGTGCCCCCTCAGATAGGTTTTCACAGCCAGAGCAGAACGGAGCCGGGGAGAATATCAGCCCTCGACAGATTTCGCTGAGTATCCAGAAGCAAAGGGGGTTGGTGCCAGCGGGTGCGAGCTGACCACCCGAGAGAAACGACCTGTCCCCGTCACCCATGAATTTGTTTGTGCCACAGGGGTTGATGAGGAAACTCGCCCGCACGTGTTTCTTCCCCGCCACAGGCCCCGCCGCCCACTTGCATGCATCACAGAAACGCAAAAGGCGTAAACCACGAGGCATCGCCCGTGCCTTTACCTTCTTCCACCTGGTGGAGGTCAGTGCTGTCCTTTAAGTCTTCATCCACCCAGGGTCGAGCCTCCGACTTGGCTCTCGCCTCCCCTTTCCTTCTCTCGATGTTTCCATCAGCATTTTTAAAGATCCACACAATCAAAATGCAGACAACTGCTATCAAGACTGGAGTCAGGGGAAACATGCTCACGAGACGGATCCAAATGCTGCGCTTCCCTCCCACGCGGGCCTTTAAGCAAACTGCCCGGGAGGCCCAACGCGGGAGAGGGAGTGGAGGGGGAGGGAGGTGCAAGGACTTTGCCAAGGGGTGAAGGTCACAGCCGTGTGGGTTGGGGCGTGTTGTGGGTTTGGCAATGCGCAGGTGCATTCACCTTTTTCAATTCTGTGCTCAGTCAATACGGTCTTAGGCAATGATTGCCAGGATCGCACTGAGCACTTGAAGGCTCTGGATCTCGCCAGCGGCAGGTGAAGGCATTTAATCTTCCTCTCTGGATTCTTTCTCTGAGAGCAGCAATGTGTCTTCATCGTGCCTGAAGCTACAAGTCACCTGGAGAACTTGTCTTTAAAAGAACAGACTTCCAGACACCAGCTCCCATCTGCTGAGAGAAAACATCCAGGCAAGGGGCCTGATAATCTGCATTGTAAAACAGACTGTTGTGAAACCGCCCTGAGGTTTTGATGTTTTTTAAAAAAAAAATAAAGCCTGTGTCAACACATAGAGTGAAGAAAGTATTATCTTGCATTGGAGAAAAATGTTGATCCAGGAAAAGACAAAGAAATTTAAAATGACAGTTTGATTAGTTATATAATAATTTAAGTAGAGCTTTTTAAAAATGTCTTAACTGGGGCTGCTGTAACAGAGATACCATAGACTAGGTAGCTTAAATACCAGAAATCCATTTCTTAGCGTTCTGGAGGCTGGTGAGTCCAAGATCAAGGTGCAGGCTGCTTTTCTTCCTGATTCCCTGATGGACAACTTCTCACATGTCCTCACATGGCAGAGAGGGGTCGTCTCTCTCTGTCTCTTCTTCTTAGGGCACCAGTCTCACTCCTGAGGCTTCCACCCTGATGACCCAGTCACCTCCCAAAGGCCCTACCTTCAACCACCATCACCTCGGGGCTTAGGGCTTCAACGTACTCATTTGGGGCAGCACAAACATTCAGTCCACAGCAGTAAGGTATGGAATTGTGTGTGTTATGGTATAATTTGAGCAAAACAGAGTAGAAAATACTGTATATTGATATGTATCTGTATATCCATAACATTTCCTGAAAGACTATATGATAAACTTAAAACTGGTTATACTGGGACTTCTCTTTGTCAGCTTTGCAACTTCTTGTGAGTCAATATTTATCTTAAAATTAAAAATTAGCCCTGGCTGGGCGGCTCAGTTGGTTGGAGCATCATCCTGCACACGGGAATGTGGTAGGTTCAGTTCCCAGTCAGGCACATATCTGGGTTGCTGGCTTGTCCCCAGTCAGGGCATGTGCAACAGGTAACTGATCGATGTTTCCCTCACCTCTCTCTCTCTCTCTTCCTCTCTTTCTGAAAATCAACAAAAATATATCCTCAAGTGAAGATTTTAAAAAAATTTTAAAACAACAGTGGTTACTTGTTTCATAGGGGGTGTGGTAGTTGGAAGGATGGCGGACAAGGACAGGAGAGAGAATTTTTACTATATACTATTCCATAATTTTTTAAATTTTTAACTATTATAAATCATTGTCTATTCAAAAAATTAAATAAATATGTTATTTCTTTTAATAGCCCCTTTAATGTTTTTGTTTTATTTTATTGTATATTTTAACTTTTTTTTAATGACAGACTATTTTTTAATATACGTTATACTGGGTCTAACTCCAGAGGACCATGTGAGGTTGTAGACAAAGTTTATTCTGGAGAAACTGGACACCATAAGAGATATTGTCTTCGTGGTGGCACCACCTGCTGTGCCTATAGCTCTTCTAAGGGAATTTCCTCCCATGATCCCCTAAAAGGACATCAGAGGTGACCATGGCTAGTCCCATTTGATCTGACCCCACATCTAACCGAAGGCAGCCTGTCCTTCTGACACACAGCAGGCCGTGCTGTGGCCAGCTCATCATTTCATCCCACTAAAAGTACAGAACAAAGAAGCCACTCAGCAGCAAGAGAGGCAAGACCTGGAAGGAAACAACAGTTTATAGGCCCTGAGGAAGGACAGTGAGGGGCCACTGGCTATGAATGCCTCAGTCCCTGGCAGGTCCCAGGTCTGGCTCAGTTTCAGCCCAAAGGGCTCTATACCCTCAATTGATCAAAGTGATTTTCTGTTCCTCTAACCACAGAACCCAGCTAGTGCCAGGAAAGAGACTAAACCTAGTGGAAGTGGGGGGATGTGAATTGATTACGGTGCACTGGTGGGTGCAGGCATTGGCAGCCCCTCAATCTCAGGATGGAGCACCAACAGCCCATGGTGTGCAGTGGCTGGTTGGCTGATTAAGGTGTTGCTTGAATCTCCTGGATTTCAGGTCACATGCCCAGCAAATCAAGTCTTTAGGAGAATTCTGAAACCACCAATAGGGAAGAGAAATATAAGGACAACTGTGTTTGGGTGCATGCTTTTCATAGTATTTGGCAACTTGCAATGGGAAAAGAAAGACTCATCTGGGATTGCTTGGCTCAAGGCAGAGAAGGAAAGTCAGGTGATCATTTGTTCCCTCACTCACCCAGCCATCCGCTCATTCACTCAACATATATTTTTTAGGATCAACGTAAAAGGCATTGCATTATGTGCTAGAAATAAAACAGTGGGAAAAACAGATGACACATGACCTTCTGCTCTCACAAATTAATGTCACAGCTCATCTTCCATAAGAACTGTTAGGGAGCAGAATAGAGTGTGGTGTGGTCTTGCTGGTGAGACCAGAGGTTCCCAGAGGAAGGAATGGTTGAGCTGAGGTTGGAACTATGAGTAGGAGCCAATTAAGGAAAGAAAAGAGGAAAGAACCTTTTCGGGCAGAACGCAGAGTGTGGGCAAGGTATGTGCTCTGGACGGAGCTGGCACCGGTGGGGACTGGGATGGAGGCAGAAGCTGGGGGTGCAGGGAGCCAGCTAAGGATGAGATAAGTAGGTGCGAGATGAAGCGGGTCTCTGTATGGTATGAGACACTTTTAAGTCATTTATTATTATAATGTTTGTTACTTACTTCAGAGTCCTTGGCTATTTAATCATTTCATTTCCACTCCCCCTTCTCCCAGCCCTGGTAACCTCTAGTCTACTTCCCGACTCTATGATTCGGCCTAGTCTGGGCTTTATATAAGCGGAATCATACAATATTTGTCCTGTTATGAATGGCTTAGTTCACTCGGCAAAACATCTTCAAGGCCCATCCATGTTTTAACTTGTATCAAAATGTCATTCCTTTTCATGGCTTGGCATGTGCTGTTTTAATAACTGAAAAATAGACACCTAGACAAGTGTGTAGTGATGTGGTTGATGTACCTGAATTTATATTCAAGTGTATGTTCCATATTATGTCATTTTGGGCCTGGTAACCACGGGGAGTGGGCCGGCCGGCTACAGACCACAAGGTGAAAGCACTGTTCTAGAAAACACACTTCCCAAGACACACATGTGACTTTTAAGTTTCCCTGCTGATGTTAAATCTAATATGCACCATTTGTTCGTGCCTCCCTAACATCCTGCAAGTGTGTTTGCAGGGAGTCAACTGAGGTGAAGGAGGACTTCCCAGGAAAGAGATACCTGGGTGCTGAGTGAGGTGACTCAGCTCTAATGACTCACACGAGCATTTCTATCAAGTGCTCATTTAGCAGGTGTTCCATCAAGTGCTTAAGCCAAAGGCATTTTATCAAAATGCTCTGTGTTCCTTTTGCCCTGAGGTGGGTGACGACACCTGCTGGCCACAGGAGACCTGGGTTGTTGAGGCCTCTCCTCACTGTTGCAAATGGAGAAGGGCTGTTCAACTTTGGGTGCTGGGCAAGGAATCCTAGAATGTGGCCCAAAGAAGGTGGTGGGGGTGTCTGATCCTAATTTCAAAAGTTTTGGGCCCGGCTGGGCGTGGCTCAGCGGTTGAGCATCGAACTAGGATCCAGGCGACCAGGGTTCGATTCCCGGTCAGGGCACATGCCCGGGTTGTGGGCTCGATCAATGACTCTCTCATCATTGATGTTTGTGTCTCTCTCTCTCCCTCTCCTTTCCTCTCTCTAAAATCAATAAAGATATAAAAAAAATTATTAAAAAAAAAAAAGTTTTGGAGCAGCTGGGAATGGGATCCTATCCACGGGAAGGCACTGACACCCAGGAAAGAATCAAGTAATCAGAGCAAAGTGACATTGAGGCTGGTCATGGGAACCTGAGTGGGGAGCTGAAGTGGGGGACGAGAGGTCAGAGAACAGCAGCCCCCAAAGAGAGACCACTGCTGAGCACCGGTACTGGGTACTGTCCTCCTCGCTGGGCTGGGC